AATAAATAAATATTTCTTAAAAAGTGCAATCCTATCATGTCTAAAAGAAAAGTACATGTCTTAATTTTAAAATGTATTATTGCTGAAAAATGCAAGCCACCGTATGAGCTGTGAGAGAAATGGTTCCAGAAGGTGCGCTCAATGCAGGATTGCACAAACCTCCAATTTGTTACAAAGGCAGAGTACAGTCAAAGTGACACACAATCAAAGGAGGCGTGTCTGTGCTCCAGTGGCACTTAAACTCAAGGCAGGAGAGAGAGGAGAAAAGAGGAAATGAAGACAGGTCACTGAGACACAGGGAGAGCAAGAGAAGAGGAAAGCTCCCAGGAGAGAGGCTGTCCGAGGAGGGGGTTGGGTTTGAAGGGCTGACGACCAGCCAGATCTCATTCTTGGTTTCCTTGCCATTTGCAGCCTCCATGGTGTTTCCTGGAAGTTCCCAGCCTCAGCTCCCCCCAAACAGAGGGGAGCAGTCAGGTTGGGCTGGAGTCCAAGCCATGAGAAGCCTGCCTCGCTTGGGGCACTCATCACCAGCATCCTCGTTCACCAACCACACACTGTCCCTTGGGAAGGAATCAAAGAGACAGGATTGGCCCTGGAGGAGCTCAGAGCCGCCACCCCAGATGCGCCACTTTGCCAAACTGGTTCTTTTGTGCTGAAGGCACCAGGGCTGCAACAGGTGCAAGCAGGCTGTCAGCCCTCTCTGTTTCCACCAGTTGCTGAACATCAGACTTCCTGTGTGAAAGGTACCCTCCTGTACAGGAAGAGCAGAACGTTTTTTTTTTTTAATTTATGTATTTATTTTTTCAGAAAGGGAGAGAGAGAGATCTCCTGGGGCTGGCGTTGTGGTATAGCAGGTAAAGCTACCACCTATGACTCCAGCATCCCACCTGGGCACTGGTTTGAGACCCGGCTGCTCCACTTCCAATCCAGCTCTCTGCTAATGACCTGAGAAAGCTACAGAAGATGGTCCAAGTCCTTGGGCTCCTGTTACCCACATGAGAGACCCTGATGAAGCTCCTGGCTTCAGCCTGGCCCAGCCCTGGCCATTGCAGCCATCTGGGGAATTAATTAGTGGATGGAGGATCTCTGTCTCTCGCTCTCTCTCTATTACTTTGACTTTCAAATAAATAAGTAAGGGCCAGTGCTGTGGCATAATGGGTAAAGCTGCTGCCTGCAGTGCCGGTATCCCATATGGACACCAGTTCGAGACCTGGCTGCTCCATTTCCGATCCAGCTCTCTGCTATGGCCTGGGAAAGCAGAAGATGGCCCAAGTCCTTGGGCCCTGCACCCATGTGGGAGACCGGGAAGAAGCTCCTGGCTCTTGACTTCGGATCGGCACAGTTCCAGTCATTGCAGCCAACTAGGGAGTGAACCAGTGGATGGAAGACCACCCCCCTTCTGCCTCTCCTTCTGTGTGTAACTTCAACTTTCAAGTAAATAAATAAATCTTTAAAAAATAAATAAATAAATAAATAAATCTTAAGAGAGAGAGAGAGAGATCTCCCATTCACTGGCTCATTCCCCAAGTGCCCGCAATAGCTGAGGCTGGACCAAGTCAAAGCCAGGAGCCAGGAGTTCCATCAGGTCTCTCAAGTGGGTGGCAGGAATCACGTACTATTTGAGCTATGGTCTGCTTCCTCCCTGGGGACACATAACAAGGAAGCTAGAGTCAGGAGGGAATCCAGGTCTTGAGCCCAGGCCCCCCAACATGGGATTCAGGTGTCCCATGAAGTGTCCTGACAGCATCCTTATCACCAGAAATAGTGAGCTGATACCTAGATGAATCTGTTCAAACAAAACCTTACTAAAATGCATAACCCTTACCTTATCTCCCACTGGATTCCCCCATGTATCTCCCAGTCACTTACCCACTAGCAAGCACTAGCCCAAGACCCTTTGTCTTATCACAAGCTTCATTCATTCATACATTCATTCATTCAGCAAGTACCCATTGAGTTCCTACTCTGTGCCAGGCACTGCAGACAACCCCGAGGAACAAAAACAGACAACCCCTGCCCCCAGGCGCCCGACACCAAAGCCAGGGCCAGGAAACAGAAAGGAATGAGAGCCTGTACAGAGATGAAGAGATTGGGCCAGAGAGCGCCTCTCACGGCAGCCGTCTTAGGACTGGTTTGCTAGGCAGGAATTTCCTGAAGGAGGGTCTTAGGAGAAGGGGATGAGGGAGGCAGGGACGGGGAGCGACAATGAGGTCTCTATTGGAATCCAGCATCAGCCTGACTGCAGGGGGAGCTGTGAACCACGAATTGTGACATGGAATAGGAGCCACTTGAAGCCAGAGTCTCAGGAAGCCTTGGTGCTCCCTGGTGGGCCCTTCAGGGATCACTGACTGCTCTTCTGCCTCCACCCCACTGCCCCCCACAGAGGGACAGAGGCCACTCCCACTGAGCCACACAAGGGAGGAGGATGCTGTGAGCCCTGGGGTGAGAGCACAAAACAGAGATCTCAGTGTCCCAGCAAGAACGTGGCCCAGGAGGGGCGGGGCCTCAGCAGGGCTGGGCTGGAGATACCCATCTGAAGTGGCCGAGGGAGGATTCCAGAGAGAAACAGGAAGGCTGGGCAGCTGGCGCCATGGCACAGTTGGAAAAGCCATCACCTGGGCCACCAGAATCCCATACCAGAGCAACGGGCTTGTCCTAACTGCTCCACTTTGGGTCTAGTTCCCTGCTAATGCGCTTGGGAAGGCAGAGGAAGATGGCCCAAAGACTTGGGGCACTGCACCCACATGGGAGACCTGGCTGGACTTCCGGACTCCTGGCTTCAGCCTGGTCCAGCTCCTGCCATTTGGAGAATGAACCAGTGGATGAAAGAGTCTCTCTCTCTCTCTCTCTCTCTCTCTCTCTCTCTCCCCTTTCAAATAAATTTTAAAAAATAAGGCTGGAGCATCGTACTCAGCTTCTCTATCAGGACCTTGGCTTGGTAGCAGGGTCTTCTCCACAAGCAAATGCACAGACAGCAGAAGTTGGCAACCAATGCATTTAACTCTCGTTCATTCAACCCCGCCTGGTACTTTAACGGGCAATGGGGATGGCAGGCAGATAAGGGGAATGATTCCAGCCATTGTCCTCCAAATCCTGTGCCAAAACAGGAATGCCCACAGAGGATGTGGAAAGGAAATCATTGTATGTGTGTATTTATCAGAGTAGCTGAGCCAGAGGATTGTGGAAGTAAACAAAATCCAACCAAGTGAAGCAAAGGCTACTTATTCAGAGTTGCTCTGGCCGGGACGTCCACTACCATTGCTGGTGTCTGGCAGGGATTCCGGCCAAGGAGGAAGTTGGCTGTGTAGCAGACAGGAGGGAGAGCTTCCCATATGCCCTGGGGGAGCTGTAGGCCAGTTCACTAGACACAGGGCCTCCACGTGATTGGTTAAGGGGGGCATATCTGGCTTGCTGTGGTTGGTGCTAAGTTGGAAGCAGACACAAAAATTAGGAAAGCTGTCATTTATCTATGGAGTCCTGGACATGTGGACGTGGCCCCAGTACATTTGGTGGGGTCCCTTAAGAAAAAGGGGGATGTCAGCCCCCCAGCTCCGCCCAGAGAGCAGATCACCTACCTGGGAAAACCTCAGAGACCATAGAAAACGCACCCTAACTGAGGAAATACTGCAGTTACAAGGATGCTTCTTGATTATAGTCCTTATTGAAATGGACAGCCTCTGGATGTCTCCCTGCTGCTCCATTAAAAGCTTATGGCAGCAGTCACCCAAACTAAGAAGGGCCTGCCTTTACAGGTGAACCCCTCAATTGTAGTCCATATCACTGCCATCATCAACCCTTATCTGACCCACCTTCCTACTACTTCCTTGCCACGTGTTCAATGAGTCTAGCTCTGCTCACTCTTCTCTGGTGGATTCTTTTTGCCACGTGAGACTCTGGCCTCAGTCGGTCCCTTCCCAACACAGGACCTGGGGCACTTGGGACATCTGATTGACAGCTAGTGCTCTGGCTTCCTAGGCTGATTATGGTAGCTAATAGGTTGGGTGTGGCAGGTTCTGGGGTCTGTTTATTTTTTAATATGATCTGGCCGTTGTCCCTTTGCACATTCGGTCTCTCCAGATCTACAAAGTGTGAAGTAGACAAATTGGACACCACAGGCTCCTGAAGAAATTATTTGGGAGTGGAGCAGGCATTCACCCTGCAGTTAAGATGCCCACCTCCCACATCAGGGTGTCTGGGTTTGCTTCCCAGATCTGACTCCAGCTTCCTGCTAGTGCAGACCCTGGGAACAGTGGTGATGGCCCAAGTGACTGGGCTTCTGCCAAACACATAGGAGACCTGGGTTATGTTCCTGGCACTCTGGTTTCAGCCCCAGCCCTGGCCTGGGCTGGCATTTGGGGATGAACCAGTGGATTTTCTCTCTCTCTCTCTCTCTCTCTCTCTCTCTCTCTCTCTCTCTCTCTCTCCCCCTCTCCCTCTTCCTCTTCCTCTTCCTCTCCCTCTCTCGCTACTCCTCAAATAAATAAATTTTTAAAATAAAGACATACACTGGATACAGGGAAACATTTTTGGGAACTCTGTCTCCTTGTAGAGGACAACAGACAGCTGGAAACCCCAGCCTTTTCCCTCATTCATTCATTCACTGGGCACACATATTCAGCAACTATTGGTTACAGTTCAGGTACCGCCCTACGGCCTGGGGTACAATGAGGGTTCCTATCCTTGGAGGATATGCAGTCTCCAGGGGAAGAAAGCAGATGTCTGTGCCTGTGTGTGTGTGTGTGTGTGAGAGAGAGAGAGAGAGAGAGAGGTACAGCCTATTTCAGCTGGAGGGTAGGGGTGGGAGGGGGTGTGGAGGAAGTGAAGCTGATACTGATGCTGTGGCAAAAGTCAGGTGATGGAGGAGGCAAAGGGGGTTCTGGGAAGAAGGTCCAGTGCAGGCATAAGGTAGAGGGAGTACGGTTGGGGGAGGGGACACCTGCAGGTCCTGATCTGTCCCAGACGGGGCCGTGGCACCCTGGTCACAGGTCTTTCCCTTTCAGAAGGATCCTGAGTCTCCCGCTGTGAAGGTGTAATTGAGAGGAGGAGGAGCAAGAGCAGAAGATGAACCACAGAGGCCGGCGGCTTTGCAAGATCACCTTAAACACACGTGAGCCCAGTTCCCAGCGCCTGGGTGACGGCAGAGCCTCATGCTGCCACACCTTCCCGTTTTCCAAGAAAAAATCATGCATACAGGTATCTCTCGGAAATCTCTGTTTTAAAATGTCAGCAATAATCCAAAACAAACCAACAAGACCACTTGGGCCAAATTAGAGCTTAAGGCTGGATCTGGCCTGTGGGCTGCCAGTTTGAAGGCTCTTTTCTGAAGCAGAAGTGGTTAGCAGCTCAGACTTTCCCAGGGACACATCTCTAGGGAGCATCCGCAGAGATGGAAGGGAAAGCGCCTTTCTCCTCATCTGCAGGAGAGATGGTCACTGCTGATTTCCCGGTCAGGTGCTTCTGCCCCCAGCTGGGAATGGAGAGACCCCCCACCCCCAGGACACTCTCAGAAGCTGAGGATAAATCTTTGGAGATCGAATCTAGCAGGCTCACCAGGAAGGTCCTCCACGTGGAAAAAATGTACCTGCAACCAGTGACCATCCCCAGGATGGATAGAAGGGAGCCCTCCGGGGTGCTGACCATCTCAGAGGAAGGGAACGGAAATGCTAGTAGAAGCCTGCAGTTTTACCACAGGGCAGCTTCTTGGACCAACTGGGGAAGCAACCTTCAGGAAGGCAATGATCTAAGTTATAGAAGAGGGCAGCTGCTGCCTTGGGGGCTCAGAACAGTGTTCACTCCTTCCTCCTTAATAGTGTAAGAATAGGGGGTCCAGGGACTGGCACTGTGGTATATGAGGTTAAGCTGCCACCTGCAGTGTCAGCATTCCCTATGGGTGCCAGTTCGAGTCCTGGCTACTCTACTTCCCATCCAGCTCCCTGCTAATACACCTGGGAAAGTAGTAGAAGATGGCCCAAGTGCTTGAGCCCCTGCACCCATGTGGGAGACCCCAAGGAAACTCCTGGCTCCTGGCTTTGGATTGGCCCAGCTCCAGCCATCAAGGCCATTTGGAGAGTGAACCAGCAGGTGGAAGATCTCTCTTAGTTCCCAAGTGCAGCCACCCCCACCCCCAGCTATTGGGGACATCGGAGAAGTGAACTGGTGGGTTGGGCATGCTCTTCTCCCCCACCCCCAAGTTAATTCATTCTTTCATTAATCAGAAAAACTACCTTCACATCCTCGTGGTCGTGAGTGCTATTGGTGCTCTGTCCACAACCCACCACCTCAGGGACTTCACTCAGGGCTGTGCTCAGCAGTCAGGTTCCTCAGCAGTAGCACCTGCGTCTCGGTCTCTGCCCACCACTGCCTGCTCTGCCCACACCCAGGTCAGGTCAGAAGTGCCAGGGGATCCCCACTCTCTCCCGCACCAGCAGCAGCCCCTGGGTGAAAAACTATGCACTGTGTCCACACCCCAGCTCCTTCTGCCCTTGGGCAGGCAAACACTGACCTTCATGTTCATCTCCCAGGATTGCCCAGTGGGACCAAGTTCCCAGGGCTTGCCAAAGTGCCTTACATACGGACGCACCTGTGTTGGCTACCTTTCCCTCCCCAGCCCATTCCCCCCACCTGTTAGTGTTCTTGGGACCATCTCTTAAGTAAACTTTTTTTTTAAAGATTGGACTCGGGCCATCTTCCACTGCCCTCCCAGGCCATAGCAGAGGGCTGGATCGGAAGTGGAGCAGCCAGGACTCGAACCAGCTGGGATGGTTCCATATGGAATGCCAGCACTGCAGCTGGTGGCTTTATTCACAATGCCACAGCGCTGGCCCCAAATATGCTTCCTTCTCCTCAATTCTTCTCTCAGGTTTGCTTCTGGGAAAAAACTCAAGCCACTGGGAATACATCTTTACATGTCCTAGAAATTATCCTTACACATAGGCCAAAATGACACATAGCCAATTTATTAACTCAGTATTGTTTGTAATAGCGAGAGGATGAAAAGGAAATTTCAACTAGAGACTGCGCAGACACCTCACAGTGCAACCCACATGATAGACTACTATGAAGTTGTATAAAAGAATAAAAAAGTAATTGTTGTCTAGATAGGAAACAATGCCTGCACTCTGTGAATGAAAACAGCAGGGTGTGGAACAATACAAAGAGTGCTACCATCTGTATGCAAAAGCTTGTGTGTGTGTGTGTGTGAGCGCGCGCGCGCGCACGCGTGCATAGCCTGGGTCCCTCTAGGAGGAAATCCAAAACCACCTGGCCTCATCTGTTCCCCCCAAGACAGGACCTGAAGTCTTGGGAAGGGAGACCTTTCCCTGTCCATCCTCGGGCATCTTCTGATGTCTTCTTACTATGGACATGTTTATCAGATCGAAAAGAAAGGAAAAGAAAGGAGAAGGAAGGAGGGAGGGAGGGAGGGAAGGAAGGAAGGAAGGAAGGAAGGAAGGAAGGAAGGAAGGAAGGGAAAGAAAGAAAGAAAGAAAGAAAGAAAGAAAGAAAGAAAGAAAGAAAGAAAGAAAGAAAGAAAGAAAGAAAGAAAGAAAGAAAGAAAGAAAGAAAGAAAGAGAGAGAGAAAGAGAGAGAAAGAAAGAAAGAAAAAGAAAGAGAAAGAAAGAGGAAGGAAGGAAGGAAGGAAAGAAGGAAGGAAGGAAGGAAGGAAGGAAGGAAGGAAGGAAGGAAGGAAGGAAGGAAAGAAGGAAGGAAGGAAGGAAGGAAGGAAAGAGAAAGAGAAAGAGAAAGAGAAAGAGAAAGAGAGAAAGGGAAAGAAAGAAAATGAAAAAGCAACACAAAATTCACATGGGAGATTGATCCGTCATCCTTATCCATCCCATGAGCGCTGGTGGGGGATGGGTTTGGACAGGCACCTGTCCTGGTTCCATTGGATCCACTCCGTCTCCTGGAGGAAAATCCTGAAGCATCCTCGCCCACACACACGAGCAAGCCCAAGCTGATGCCTTTCTGCCTGAGAGCATTGTGGAAGCACTGGTCCACGTGCACACACACACACACAGGTGCATACTTGCACATGCAACACACACACACGGAAGCCAAGTGGATCTTTCAGAGTGAGACATCACTGCCCCAGTCTCCCCACAGACCCATCTGTCCCACAGCCAGGGGTGGGGGTTGTGTGTGGCTCTGAACCAAGTTCAGTCTGCAGCAGGTGGTCGGCCCCCTTGGTGGAGAAGCGGCTGTTACTGAGGTGGAGCCTCTTGGGGAGCCTCTTGGGGAGCGGCCTCACTCATCATGTCCTTGTACTGTCGTTTGAAGAAGCCGAGCTGTTGGGCGGAGACGGATGTGTAAGGGCCACAGCCGCCGGGGAGGTGGGGGTGCTGGTGAGGGTCTGACAGACCAGGAGAGGAAGGGGAAGGGCCACCAAGGGCAAAGACTCGTGGGGTGGGGGGCCAGGGGGGGTCCCTGGGAGGAGTGGCACAGGGAGCATTGGTGCTGGGGGCCAGATACAAAGCCTAACAAGAACAGCCGACCTGACAGAGTGGCCATTCTGGGCTGGAGACCATCGGAAGTGCTGAACATGACACTGATGGTCTCGTTCTACACTAAGGAAACTGAGGCACAGACATATGCCCTAGTCACACACAGGCAGGGAGGAGCTGATGAGTGAGAGGGGACAGAAAGCAGGCCAGCCCGGGGCGGGGTGGCAGCCGGGGTACGGGGGGTTTGGAGTGGGGGTACCTTGTAGAGCCCGGCAGTGATGAGGGCCAGCAGCACCAGCCCCCCAATGGAGCTGCCCACGATGAGTGGCACAGGGTCATGAACCTGGTACAGCTCCACCTTGGTCTCCGTCTAGGGAGAGCATGGAGAAGGTGCATGGTGGGGGTGGACTCCAGGCTTCGGGAACCTTCCCCACTGTGATCTTGTGCACCCCCAACACTCTAGCCCTCACCCCCCACTCCCACCTCCTTATTCCTCAGCTCCACCTCCTCCTGGCCCCCGCCACCCCGTCTCCCTGACCTCTCCGACCCCTGCCTCCTCCCTTTCTCCCTGTGCCAGCCCCTGCGTGCCCTCGATGGGTACCTGGGCCCTCACAAAGGCGTCCTGGCCGGGAAGCAGGGTGAAAGCGGACTGGTTGAACAAAATCTCTGCCGCGCTCACCAGCAGGAGGTGGTTGTGCGCTGTCTGTGGAAGGCATGGGGTGGGACGGCGGCTGCATCCAACGACCTGGAAGCACCCGCACCTGCGCCCCGCCACACCCCAGCACCCCCTCGTACCTTAATGTACCAGTCAAAGGAGAGGTTGCCTTGGAGGGTGACGTTGAATTGTTCCCGGTGGCTGAGGGAGGGGATGTCGCACTGAATCCTCCGACAGACGGCGATGGAGCAGTTCTGAGGGGGGGCAGGAGAGGGAGGTGATGGAGGGAGGCAGATGCCAAAAACATCCCCGTCCAGGTGCACTGGGCTCGGCTCTCACCACCACCGGGGACTTGTTCAGCTGAGCCAGGAAGTCAGAGCGAGGCGGAAGCCTCTCCTCACTGTGGCACCCACTGGAGAGGTTCTGAGGAAAGACGAGAGGGAAAGGATGCGGGGACAGCCTGGCCCCGGAGAGCCTCGGAAGGCGCTCCAGAATCCAAGGCAGGAGGCGGGCGGTGATGTTAGGCAGGACCAGGGAAGGGCTGCGCAGGCAGGAGCTGGGCGCACACCTCCCCCCGCTCAGCCGGACTCACCAGGGAGAAAATGGCCTGTGGGTCGTCCCACACGGTCTTCTCCTGCAGCCGCACCGGCACCCAAAACACCACGCTGATGGGGAGCCTCCTCTGGCCCAGGTTGTTGAACTGCATGGGGGTGAGGGCGGGGCAGTCTGGGTTCTGCCTTCGTTGTCCCCCCTCCCCCAACTCCTGAGTCATCCTGCCCCTCCCCTCTGCCCAGCACACCCGAAAGAGACCCCAGTGGCCGGTGCCTTGGGGGTAGGGGGTGGGGGGCAGCCGAGTGGAGCCTCTGAAGACATATTCCAGACATAGGTGCTTGGTGCAATGGTTAAAACCACTGGCTCAGGACACCCGCATCCCCTGTCAGAGTGCCTGGGCTGCAGTGCCAGCTCTGCATCCAATTCCAGCTTCCTGCTGGTGTGCACCCTGGGAGACAGCAGGAGATGCCTGGACCAGCTGAGTCCCTGTCACCACATGGGAGACCCGCATTGAGTGTGTTGGCCTCCTGACTTTGGCCTGGTCTAGTCCCGGCTGTTGTAGCCATTTGGGGAGTGAATAGAATCTCTCTCTCTCTCTCTCTCTCTCTCTCTCTCTAATAAATAAAATAAATAGGGGCCAACATTGAGGCACAGCACTTTTAGGTTGCCACCTGCAGTGCCAGCATCACATCTGAGTATCCAGTCAAGTCCTGGCTGCTCCACTTCCCATCCAGCTCCCTGCTAATGCTCCTAGGAAAGCAGCAGAAGATGGCACAAGTCTTTGGGTCTCTATCACCCACGTGGGAGACCCGGAAGAAGCTCCTGGCTCCTGGATTCGGGTTGGTCAAGTCCCAACCGTTGCAGCCATTTGGGGAGTGAACCAGTGGTTGGAAGATTCTCTCTAACTCTGTGACCCTCAAATTAAATCTTTTGAAAAATCTTTTAAAAATTAACATTAATAAAAGAACAGATTGTCTTGAAAAAAATTTTAATAAATAAATAAACCCAGGTTCCAGAGTCCAAGAGGCTGCTTGTTGTGTCCCCACTTTGCGGCTAGTTACTAAGAGGGGATGGGGGGGCAGTGGGGCAGTGTTAAGGGGTCTGAGCAGGTTTTGCCCACCCCTCAGAGCCTCGGCTTCCTCCTCTGTAAGCTGGGGTGTTTACAGAATGAAATGAGTGTGTGCGCATATACCAGGGGTCTGCACACCTGCACGCCGCCAGGGGGCATTCCTAATGGGGTGCGTGTAAGCTTGCAGCCATGGCCAGGCACTGTGTGCGTGAGCCCGGCACCGACGTCTCTGCGTTCAAGTCACTTCCCTCCCTGCCTCCTTCTCCGGAGCCGCCTGCCCCCATGGCTCCCGCACCTGATATTCGTGCTGCAGAACCCGCGTGCTCTTCTCGGAAGCCGTGAAGTTGAGATATTTGGTGGAGACCTCACCGCTGAAGGGAGAGAGAGGAAAGGAGTGGGAAACGACAGAATATGAGGGGCTAGGGTCCTGGGAGGGGGTCCTGCGTGTGCAGTGAACAGGTACAGAGGTAGTGCAGCCGGGAGGGGGTGGCATGGATAGCGTGGGGAGGAGGAGAGGGAAAATGTGTGCTGGACACACAGTATGTGCCGGCTTGGGACACACACACACACACACATGCACGCACAAATACATGCGCGTGCCTAGATCCTCAGACACGCACAAGCACAAGCCCAGACTCATGCCCACAGACACTCAAGTGGCCATGCCCGGCCCCACGGTGAAGGCTCAGCCCGCGCCCCGGAAACCAGCACCTGGTGACCACCAAGTAGACAGCGTATTTCACAGGCAGCTCCATCTGGAACTCGGATTTGCTGGTGCTGGGCATGTTGTTCTCACTGAAGGAAGAGACAGCGCTTAGCCAGCTCCGGAGCACTGAGCCACAGCCTCGCTTTCTCCCTCTCCGCCAGCCCCACCCCCACCCCAGTCATCAGGGAGTCCCGGCATACCTGTGCCCCCCCAGCACCGCCCCTGTTCTCCGCCCTTGCTCACCTGGTGTCTACATTCGCCCCTTCTACTGCGCCCTGAGTCCATCTCTGCTCCCTCCTCCACCCCAGCCCCCCTGGGGAGTGATGTCCTGGCAAAATGCCATCAGGGTTGCTCCCATGGATTAAACCAAAAATCTCCTCCCTGAAATCCCGTGTGGTGTTCTAAAGGCATAAGGCATCCTGGTCTGCCCAGTGCTCAGGCTCCTCTTGGCACCTGCTTCCTTCCTTCTGTCTTCATGCCCACCCCAATGTCTATGCCTGTGCTTGGCTCACCCACAGCCTAACTGTATTTTCTCCAGGAATTTTCTGGGAACGCCAAGCTCCCCTGAACACTGAACATCCTTCCTGGATCATTTGTTTCATGCTGTGTGGCTGTCACCAGTTTTCTTGTCTATCTGAGCCACTAAGTGATAACCTCCGTGAGGGTGACAAGCACAAGCCAACACTCAGCACAAGGTGGTGCTCAGCCAGTGTTTGTTGAATGAATGAATGAATGAATGAACGAGCTGAAGGGAGAACCGGTGGGGAGGGAGCCAAGGTGCACCCTGGGCCAGGGGCTGGGGCTTTGAAGGGGTGGGGGATGCTTGTCACGGTGGGCACAGTGCACCTGGTCACACGGGCTTTGAGGAGCAGTTTGCTTCCCAGGTAAGCATCGGACTCCACATAAAAGGTGATGTTAAAGGTGACCTGGAGGTGGAGAAATGAGGGGCAGTGATCAGTGTGCATCCATTGATGAGGGGATGAAGGAGGTATGGTCCATCCAGGTGACTCGGTGATCACTCAGCAATAAAGGGAAGAGGGAGGTACTGACTCAGAACCCGGCACATGTCCTAGGAAGCCGATCACAAAGGAACTCCTACTGCCTGATTCAACTCCCTTAAAATGTCCAGAGTGCACAAAGCCATACAGAGTAGAGCGGTGATTGCCTAGGGCCTGGGGATGGGAGATTTGGGGCTGATGGCCAAGGGGAGTGAGGTGTCCTTAGGGGATAATTAAGATGCTTACAATGCATCAGGATGATGGGAACACAGCTAAAAGCCACGGACTTGTATACTTTAAGTGGAAGAATTATGAGGCCACTGGCTTGGCACAGTGTGTTAAGCTGCTGCCTGTGGCTGTGGCATCCCATATGAGCACTTCTTTGAGTCCCGGATGCTCCATTTCTAATCCAGCTTCCTGCTAATGCACCTGGAGAAGCACCCAGCCCTAGCCGTGGCAGCCATCTGGGGAGTGAACCAGCGGATGAAAAGTGGATCTTTCCCTCTCTTTCTCTGTCTCTCCCTCTCTCTGTAATTCTGCCTTTCAAATGCATAATATACTTTTAAAAATGGGAGAATTAGAGTCAGCATTATGGCGCAGTGGGTAAAGCTGCTGCCTGTAATGCCAGCATCCCATATGGGCACTAGTTCAAGTCCTGGCTGCTCCACTTTTGTTCCAACTCCCTGCTAATGACCTGGGAAAGCAGTGGAAGATGGCCCCAGTGCTTGGACTCCTGCACGCATGTGGGAGACCTGGATAAAGCTCCTGGCTCCTGGCCTTGTCTTGGCTCAGCCCTGGCCATTGTGGCCATCTGGGGAGTGAACCAACAGATGGAAGAGATCCTCTCTCTCTCTCTCTCTCTCTACCTCTCTACCTCTCTATAACTCTTTCAAATAAATAAATCTTTTTTTGTTTTGTTTTTGTTTTTTGACAGGCAGAGTGGATAGTGTGAGAGAGAGAAAGACACAGAGAAAGGTCTTCATTTTCCATTGGTTCACCCCCCAGTTGCTGCTGCGGCCGGCGCACTGCACCCATCTGAAGCCAGGAGCCAGGTGCTTCTCCTGGTCTCCCATGGGGTGCAGGGCTCAAGCACTTGGACCATCCTCCACTGCACTCCCTGGCCACAGCAGAGAGCTGGCCTGGAAGAGGGGCAACCGGGACAGAATCCGGCGCCCCGACCAGGACTAGAACCTGGGGTGCAGGCGCCACAGGCGGAGGATTAGCCTATTGAGCTGCGGCGCCTGCCAAATAAATCTTTTTTAAAAAACGGAGAAGTGTATGGTGTAAGAAGTACACATTAGTACTTCAAAAATTTCATGGAAACAGAATTAAAAGATAAATGTGGGTGCAGAAAAATTTCCAAAGCCCATGCCTAGCTTGTTCATAGTATGCAATAAAGCTGTTCATAGTATGCAATAAAGCTGTTCTGTAACATAGAGGCTGTACTTTTTAAACAAGAGGAAGCGAAGTTTCTGGAAGAAGACAAAGAAGCAAGCCAGCATCACTAACCTCCGAGTTGCCAGGGAAGATGGGGTGGCTGATGCTGCAGCTCGTGTTCTTCAAGGTCAGGGAGTCTTTGGAGGAAGGGATGGACTCACAGTTCAGGCGCCAGGAGCGTTGGGAACGCTGGTTCTGGACGGTGAGGGACACGGAGTGGGCTGCCTTAGTCACCAGCATCAGGGGTGGCGAGGGCAAAGGTTAGCTGGAGCCCAAGGAGGATCCAGGTACCTGAACCTCTGACACCTTCCGATAGGATAAGCCAACTGGGTCGAAGGTCACCTGAGTCCTATAGGAGTCCTCACCCTCATTTCTCACGGTCAGGGTCACGTTGAAGTCCTGGGGGCTGCCCACCACCACGGTGTCCAGGCTGTGGGAGCAGCAAGACAGGGCCATGAGACACCAAGAGCATCCCCGTCTGTGCTTGGGCAGGTTGGGGTGGGGGTGGGGTGCCTGGAGAGAAACCCCAGGGGACGGGGCAGCCCTGAGGGATCCCAGGGACCAGGAGGAGAGCAGGGATGCAGGTTTGGAGGAGGCAACAAGGGAAAGAAATTCACTTCAGACTGAAGGTGACGCTGAGGTCATCCTGGCAAATGCTGTCGCTGCCACAATTCTTCTCGAAGGGAAACTGCCCCAAAACAGGAGAGGACAAGGGACACGGTGAGACGCCATGAAGGGATGCTGTGACATGGGCTCACGTGACATCAGTCTCGGTCTGGTCCCTCCCACCCCAGGACTCACCATACCCATGAAGAGTGTCTGAGCGTCTGCAGCCAGCACCGGCCGCAGGTTCCCAAAAGTGGGCAGCGGCTTCCCCACCAGAGAGAAGTTGAGACGCAGGACGATGGGGCCCACGGAGTCCTCCACACAGTCCTGGGGGACAGTGGGGAGTCTGGGCACCTGCTCGCCTCAGCTGCGCAAGCCCAGCCCGTCCTTGGGGAGGGCCCTGCGTGCTCACCGGTAATGACAGCTTCAACGTCTCGCACTTCGGGGTCAGCCCCAGGGTCTGCGTATGTCTGCCTGTGTTGTTCTTGGTCCTGTCGAAGATGGCCCTGGGATACTGGCGTCCAGCGTCCAGCGCCAGGTCGTAAGTGATGGTGCTCTGGATATCTCCTGAAGGAGCAGAGTGGCACAGTGGTGAGCGCCCAGGGTGTGGAGCCAGCCAGACGGGCTCTCTGCCCCCAGCTCCTTCACTCCACCGCTGCGTGGCCTTGGGAAGGTCAGACTGACATCTCTGATTCCCAGTTCCTTATTTTCAGAGTGAGGCAATTTATTACACCTTTCCATTGGTGAAAATGAAAGAAATACAATGAAGTGAAAGAAAATGAGATGCCCACAAAGCACTGGGTACCTGCCCATCGTAAGTGCTCAATAAACAGGGGCTGTTCCGTTACATACTAGAAAATTAATGGTATTTTTCTGACTGCCTTTTGAATTATTTTTCTCTTTGTCATTGGTCCTTAGCAGTTTGAAGATAAGACTTTTTAAGTAATCGTTTCTTAAAATATTTATTTATTTATTTATTTGAAAGAGAGACAGAGCGAGAGAGCTTCCATCTACTGATTCATTCCCCGATTGGCCACAGTGGCCAGGACCGGTCCAGGCCAAAGTCAGGAACCCAGAACTGCATCCGGGTCTCTCCCACATGGGTGCAGGGGGCCAAGCACTTGGGCCATCCTCCGATGCTTTCCCAGGTGCATCAGCAGGGAGCTGAATGGGGAATGGACCAGTCAG